ATTTGTATACGTATATTATATAATATGGAGGTTAGGAAACAGTTGGTGCTAATATCTAAATTTCGACGATATTGGACTAATGATGTTTTTCCGAGAAACGCCTCAATTCTTTAGCAGAAGTACCATTTTTAAATACTAAAATAAAACTTGATAACATGAGATTGATTTAAAAAACTTAAGATTTCATGCAAAAGCATGAGACCTGGCAACATTGCACAGGAATGTCACATTCGCGTCGCTATTCGCGATTCCCAGTACCAACCATGCCCAATCATTGGGCAGTGTTGGTTACCAATCCTGACAACCAAAATAACTACATGGTGCATAAGAATTATGTCATCCAAATACGAAAACCCCAATATTACAAAAAAGCATGTTTTTGATGGCATATGAGAACCTGTACTAATTTTACAATTTAGATAAAACAACTAAAAACGTAGATAATAAGGTACTTTAAGCATATATGCTTAAATACACCAAAGCTAACAAAGGATTTGAGTACACTTGATGCTAAAAATTGGCAAAATTCAAAGGAGCAATTCAGAAATAACTTCTTGCCTGTTATGCGCATATATGCGTGTAGGTATAGGTGTATAGGCTCTACGTGGGATCATTGTATTTGGTTCGTTATTCATTCAGTTCCGTTTGCAATCTATTAAAATTCAAAAGGAACACGAGGTATAAAGCTTGCTAACAACAATCTTAGAGCATGACTTGGCTACGTTATAGATTATTCTTGTAAAATGTTACAGCACATTCTGAATAGTAATTTTTTCGTGCAACTGTTTACTGCTTGCTGGTATTTGTCATCGAATATTACGTATGTTCATGCGAGAATTTCACCAAAACGGTACGTAATGTACGAGGGGCGTCAAAACAAGATTACCCAGTAAACATTTTTGTTTTTATAGTGGTTTTCATAAATTATCATCCAAATTATAAAACCTAAATTTCTTAATTTGGTCACAGAAATATCTATTTCACTCTTATATACCCCTTAAAGTGCTTATTTGGGGAGTTTATGAAGGTTATCGGTACCTAGTATAGTAACACTATGAAACCCAAGTTTTATAACTAGAGATGACAGGAATATTATGAAAACAACTATATAACTTCCTAAAGAACTGCGCCCGGCTTTTTTTCAGGCACATTAAAAATATATTTTTCTTCTTATTCTTATTGTCATCTTATTCATGAACTTGTTTAAACAACGTGAATATTTTGAGAAGAATTAAGTTGTTTTTGTAATACAATTCCATTAACATGTATTTTATGTAAAAAAAACAATAATTGCGGAAAGAATATATGCCCTCTTATATTGCTCATAGTAATTTTTTATAACCTAAGGTACTAGTTCAGTTTTATAGGAGTATCTAAGTTACTTAAAGTGTTATTATATAATTTTGAAACTCTTATATACATTGTAGTAACTGTCGTTACTACAAGTGATGTTATAAAACTTTTGGCAGTAATAATCGTTTTAACGCAATGGAATCAATTTATTTCACTAAACATTTAATTTAATCCACTTTTAAATTTTCTATGTTATAAATAATATATTACTTATATATTCTATGCTAAACATTTTCTTTTCAACCAAATAAAAAAATTAAAGACCCTATAGTTTTATAAAAACAGGTAACCGATATAAAACTCCTTTATAAACCTACTAGTAACGGTTACTAAAGGTTATATAAAATAGACCTATATATCTAGAGTTAACAGTAACCTTATATGACCATTATAAAACTAGTAAACTAAATGGCGATATTATAAAACCTTTTTAAACTCTTATATAATTTGACAAATATTATATAACCTTTATATAATTTATCTTAACCAAAAGTAGTGCAAATTGTTTATTGGGATGATTAATTGATTTTTAACTTTTTATTGTGTAGAACTGTGGGACAATACACATTGAAATAATAATCAAAAAGATTTACTTTTATATCGATTTCTCATTATTTATACAGAATTATATTTATTTCAAATTTTAATCTAAGATTTTTGAATAATTTTAATTTATTTTCTATAATTTTTAGTATTTCCCATAACTTTATTTTCTGGGAAATAACTGCAAGTCACTTATTGTTATGTAGCAGGACATTTATTAAAGAACCGTCAGGTAGCAGGAAATCGTACTTGTTGAATATCAAGCACCTGAAGTGTACGATGGAAAACCCGAAAAGTAATTTAATCAAAAACGATGGGAAACCTTAGTTATATCGAAAAAAAGCAACCCATTCATAGATAACATTGACCTCGATAATCCTTTGAATAATAATTAAATAAAATCGACGAAATTATGTAAGCAATTTAGAAAGTTCTTTCGGTGCAGTGTGAAATGCAGCAATAAGATAACAAAAAATAAACTTTACTTTGTTGCAATTGGGTGGTGAAATTTTGTACACTCAGAAATTTAACAAAAATAGTATATTACACTACAAGGGCAGAAAGTGTGAAATTCCGCGCATCATGGCGCGCAGTTCAGGGCTCTCACACTTTCTTCCCGTGTAGTGTATAGGTACTATTTTTCTTACTACCTCGGCCGAAAATACAACCCGGCCGAAAATACGGGAAAAAATTAAATGTGTATTTATGTACCTATCTTCATTTGAAGAGCTTGATAAATAAATAACAGTAGGCCGTGAATTCAGCGGTGCCAATACAGTAAAAATAAGAGGTTGTATTTTAATTAACAAATTACTACTTTATAACAAATAAAAGTACCATTAAACACTTAAAACAACATAAAAAGTAAAAACATAAATTGTTTATTTGTTGTTATAATTGCAAAATTATGGTTTAAAACTGTCATATTTTTGTGTTTCTCATGTTGGCAGTACGAAATTTGAATGTTAAGCACACGACTAAAAAAGTTTTACTCCCTCTATTAGAGTGTGCGCCTATAGCTTGACCAATGCATAAAACGTAAACTTTCTGCCGTGGAATCGGGGACGAAACAACGTATTTTGAGTCGAGGTAGTAAGAAAAAGTAGTTGTCTTAATAAAGTATTCGTCCAACAATTGCTTTTGTTACGGCAAAAAGATTATTTTTATAAAAATTATTTATCTACAAACTCTGCTTTCAGTAATAGCATTTGCATTAATAATAAAGTAAATTTACGTTATGTTTATAAAAATAACACTCTAGTTGTTATTATTTCTCCAAAAAACAGTTCTATACCGTTTACAAAAACGTTTTTTAGTATTAATAAAACCCTATAGGGTATTATTCATAGAAATTTTGTAAATTTTACAAATCCCTTTTCGTTTAAAATAAAACTTTTTTTGTAATATTAATAAAATTAATGTAAATTTAACAACAAATTAATTGTTAATTCAATAAACTATTTTAATTGTAACAATGGTCACATTTTCAACCTAATGTTTGGTATTGGGTAGTTTTTTTTTAAATAATTGCAAGGCATTAAAACAAATTATTTATTATAAAAAAAAATTAACTCATTTATATGATGTACAAAATAAACAAAATATGAACTTACTTTTTAAACAACAAGTCTGCTTCGTTTATAGAATAGACCTTAAATGTTTCTTTTAGAAAACGTTAAAATTTTAATTTTCTTAGTGATCTTTTTGATATTTTTATCATGCTAAATTTTACCACACTTCACTCGCACAAGTGAAATCAATAAGATTATAACACACACTGTGGATTATAAAGTTATGTTCACCAAGGAGAGCGCTGGCCCTTTCCCCCTCTTTTTAAGGAAAATATCAAAAATTTTGATACCATTGCAATACAATAGTAAATATTAAAAAAGTCTTTTTACAGCAACAAAATATTTTTGTTGTTGTTCTTAACGTAAGATTTTCTAACTGAAATAAAATTAATTTGAATTACAACGATAGTAATTTAAAAAAGACAAATATGCCATATAGTAAAATGAACAAAATTTACTATAACAACTTCGCATTACTTTATGTAAGCGCAATTCACACACAACTATAGATTTAACAAAAACATTTTAAGTTCGACAAAGATTTAATATAAACATAAAGTATTTCTTATTGCCATGACAATATGATAGCAACTATTACTTTGTTGGATGAACATTTTTTTATAAAAGCTCAACATTGCTGCTTCATTATAGTAAATAAGAATTTTTTTAACAGTAAAAAAAGTTTATTCTGTAAATAAAAATAATCTCATCACTTTGACAAATCGTAGGTTTTTGTCCCAATAAGATACTGAAAATATAATAAAAAAGGTACCTTAGGTGGTACATTTTTTATAGCCATTTCAATTTCAAATTTAAGTTAAATAATATTATTTTATTAATCGCTTACAAAATAAGTTTCATTATCAGTGCATGTACGTTTTTTTATATTTTCTTTCCTTTCCTTGTTCATACTCCTATTACCCCGTATACATAAGCATACCCACCCAATAACAATATCAGTCCGGAAACGAATCTTGGGTCAAACGTTGAGTCGAGATCTCGATCCGGGCCATGTTCCACTTTCGTTTTTCCTTATGCAACCGTTATACAACTCCCACAAACCATTTTGCTTAAAATTCTCAACACTTCGCACATATAACAATGTTGCATAAACCCTCTCTACCCAAACTCGTAACTGGCCGCGTTGCGTTAAAGGTTTTTAGGACATCGAGCATAATACTTGATTACCTACCTACTCGTATACGCATAAGTATCGTTAATTAATTTTATTTCGTGCTTTGGAAATGTTAATACTAAAAAAATTATTCCCAAGATGATCATTGAAAAAGTGTACTCTCTAAAAATGAATTAGTCAAAAATGACTTTTAATATGGAATTGACTATATCTCAAAAACTGCTTCACTTTCATAATTTTTGACGGTATTTTCGGATTCAGGGGAGAATTTAACATAAAAATTGTTAACTTCTAAAGCATCTATTTTTCTACATTTACTTCTACACCCTCATAGATCATCCATTACATCTAATTGATCAATTGATCGTGTATCTATTCCAAAGTATTATTTATTAAGTATGCCTATCGCACAAAACAAAAGGCAGCTGAAAAAGTCGAAAATAAAAAACACGCGGCTCTCCAGGTGTATGCGGGTCAGCAAAATTAAACAGATAATTCCATGGTCTTCACCAAGTCATCAGTTTAAAGGTATAGTTCGTACGAAAAGGGTGAAAAAAATTATGGATTTCGACGAGACGCTTATATGGAACAACTTTAGTATCTCTGGGTAAGCAGAACTTATCTCAAGTATCTAAATTATATGTTAATAGTCCAAAAACAATTTTGAAAAAATTATTTATATTCGAATAAAATTGGAGCATAATTTTTTATAAATGTGTTACGTTATCCAAGATAGTTGGATTGGTGTTTCTAATTAGTTTGTTTAAGCCAATTTTCTATAATTGTTGGAAACAGTAAGATTTTATATTTAATAATATATAATAATAGATATTGTCAAGAAAAGAGTTGAAATTTCAAAAATAAATGTTACTCTTTTGAACAATTTTTAAAATAATTCGTATAAATATAGTATAACTTTGAGTTAGAATACAAATTTTACAATATTGGACAATTTGTTCGGGAGTGAAGCATCACACCACCTAAGATAACCAATGAAATGATTTCCCGCTTGAAATAAGACGCCGGCCGGTCGCTCAACTGCAATCTGCATCATCAGTTTGCAGTTTTAGTTAGTGTTAGGAAGTGTATCATTGTGAGGTTAGTACCACATTTCTGGTGAGTAATTATTGAACATTATTTTTCCGAATAGGTGGGTTGGTATTTGCAAAATTTTCAGGGACTGGGATAAATCAATAATTATGACCTGGTGATCAAATGAGGATAAAAAGTGTTTCTATGTTCCTACTGTGCTACATTATTGATCAGCTTACTATTTACTTTAGTTTGTAATCAATGTTTTCAGTTTATATTAACTTAATTCTATCCTTACAAAATTTTTGTGTTGGTCGCTGAATACATATTTAATCTATCGACATTTGTACTATTATTAGTGGAGACGCACTTTATGTTGAATTATATCTCAATATTATTAGAATTAGCTATACACATTTTATTTTTCAGTTTGTAGTTTAATTGTGTTTATTTTATGTTGTCAGTTTCAGTTTATGTTAAGTTTAGGTATTCTATTTTGCATATTTTTTGTATAAGTCGCTGAATAAATAGGTATCTAAATTAATAATTTAGTTTTATTTTTCATTTTACCAACCTCGATCCCAAAAATTATTAAAATTTTTAAATAAATTGGAGAAATTATTATTAAACAATTTTTTGTTATTATGTGCTACAACTTGTGCAATTTCACCACAAAATATTATATTAAAAAAGTCTCTAAAATACTCCGGAATTTTTTGGGAGAAAATTTTACTTTTTTTTCTGCAATATTCTTATTGCTTTCAATGTATTCATCAAGAATAAATAGATGTATGCAATTTTACTCTTCTCATTGTAAAAAGCTTGCAGTACTAAAGGTAATTTTATACGTTCCTTAGGACAGCTGAAAAGAGATGTTTTAAGCCGCTAAGAGAAAAAAACAATGGTAAGAAGAGTCACGGTCACGTGTCCGCGTCAATAAGGGACAAACCTCCTCAAGTGGTGGCCAAAAGAAATGCCAGAGAAAGGCGCAGAGTGCAAGCGGTGAATTCGGCTTTTGTTAAGCTGAGAAAAGCTATACCTATACAAAACGCTAGGTAGGTACTATTTGGAGAAATACGATAGTTTTTTTTAAGTAAAAATGTGGATTAAGAAGATGCCACACAAGATGCAAGATGCGTGTGTCTGATGCTGCAATTTGGACAAAAAAGATTTGTTTGAATAAGCTTAAGCTTAAAAACAAATATTTTTTATTTAAATTTAATGCTATCTCAAACTTAAAAAGTACTTTTCTTTACTTTTTATAAGAAAAAATATCTTTGAAAAGCTCATTTTAGAGCTTCACGGAGGTTAGCATTTCGTATGTTTTTTTAAAACATCCCTTTGTATACCTATTTGAAATAATTTATTGTATCTTTTGACACCTTAATATTTAAAAAAAATACAATTGTACATACATAAAATATTTATAAAAAAAATCTACTTACTGAGATATTACACTTTACGGCAGTGATGTAACCGATACATTTTTTTCAGTATCTAGGTACCGATACAGATACTCTCTGGTAGATGTATCTGGGTACAGATACCGATACATTTTCCCAAAAGTATCTGGGTACAGATACAGATACATTCAAAAAGTATCTAAGTTACTTCCAGATACTATGTTAAAAAAACTTAAAAATTAAATGAAAAAAAAAATTTTTTGGACCTTATAAACAAGCGTGTTAACTATAAAATAAAACTGTTTTGATAAAATTGACGAAATATCCATGAAAAACGGAAATAAATTTTATATTTACTCGCCATATGAAAGCTTACTACAAAATTTGTAGTACAAATTCAAAATTAGACAGAAGGAAGAAAAGCCAACTATAGGTAACCTACAGCGCTTTTGTTTAACTTTACTCACTAGTGCCTAAGAGTTACTTTATGCACTTCGCACTCCAAAGTGGGTTGAAGGGAAAAAGAAATAATATATCTTTTTATTATTTGTGGCCCACATGGTGTGGAGTTGCAATCAGGTTGGGTAAAATAAAATGTATCTTGTATCTAAGGATCTATAGATATATATATATATAGTTATGTACCTAGATACGTATCGAGATACTTAAAAAAATCAGGATCTACTTTAGTATCTAGATCCTTTTGAAAGTATCTATAGATACTTTCAAAAGGATCTAGATACTAAAGTAGATCCTGATTTTTTTAAGTATCTCGATACGTATCTAGGTACATAAAATGTATCTAGATCCAGTATCTAGATACATGTATCTCGATACATTACATCACTGCTTTACGGTGGATAGGTTTTTAAATAGCAAATTAATTAACTTAAACTTTTGAATAATAAAACAGCAACACTCTCATCTGCATATAAATTCTAACTTACCTTCAGGAATCACATGCATCTATAATGTCGTGAACAGAGGTTGCATAAAAGCAAAAACAGATTCACGGAGGATAGAATCAATTTTTGCAACACCTACATAAATGGTTATAAAAAAATTTTTCTTTTAATTTTTAATAATATTTTATATTTGATTCGATTACTTTTAAAACATTGTAAAAAATAATTAATTGCGGTTAAAAATCTGGAACCTGAGCTGTAATATCTACTTAATTATGAAAGATCAAAACACAATAAAAGTGTAGGTCAAACTCATTTAGTTTTAATAAATATCACGGGGTAACATTTTGTGAAATTCATTTTTTTACTAATTTACAGGGTTTAAATCTCAATTGCATTTTGGGATTTTTTTAATAAATCTTGTATAGTATATAATTTTTTTATTTTTAGAAGTAAAAGGATAAGTAAAGTAAAAACATTACAAAACGCCATAAGATATATTCGAGCTTTGGAAGAAATTCTTCAAAATAACTCAAATGGACCGGATTATTATGGTTTTGTAAGTAATATCGGCAAACATTTATACAGTTGTTATAAAACTAGTTATAATTTTTTTGTTTTTTAGGATGACAATATTTCAGTTATTAACAATTACGAAGATTTTTCAAACAATTCGTTCTGCTACGATAACAATCTAACTTCGAGAACCATAGAAAGTTAATTAAAAAAATCTAATAATTATTATTTTTATACAAAAAACTAACTTTATCTAGTCATATCTAGTCCCAGTTTAAACAAGGTTTAAATACAAACAAATTATATAGATTATAGTTATAAGATAACAAAAGTAACAATTATTGTTCTAGTCATATTAAGTGTAGGTATATTTTATTTCTTTATTTCTACTAAATATATTTTAATTTTAATAAATATTATATAAAGTTTTATAACTGTTATTATAACCCTTCATTTAACTTTATTTAAGCTACTGCAAGTGATTCATATGCTTATTTTCACAAATAAAATTGTCAGGGCACCCACATAAAATAAAGGTAAATTTATTGATGACAATTCATGTAAGTAGATTTGTTTTTAAATGTCATGAGAATCTTATAACATGTTATGCATATATGCATATATGCAATAATTTTTTATTTTAAAGTGCCCCAATATCCTGGTTATGAATACAATGAAAAAAAATGAAAATCACTTTTACACAGTAAAAAATTTTGCCGTGTAAATTTTTTAGTGTAGGGGTAAAAATATTAGAGTTGATTTGTAAGTGTAAAACACTACAAAATACACTAGGTAGCATTTAGTGCTTATTAACTTTATTAAACACATTTAAAGAATATGAACATTATTCATTGGTACATTCACACTATTTATTATTAAAATAAATCGAAAGGGTAGAAAAACTTAATGCGAGTGTTTATTACCCCTTAATGTGTTAAATAGTGACAAAATGTACACTACAGTGCATGCCAATTTCTTTGTTTCTTTTGATGTTACTAAGAGCTCTTTTTTCTTTACACTACTAGTGCACATTGTATCACAATTAATCTTAAATTACACCAATAGTGGCAAAATAGACTGAAAAAACTGGTAATAACCGAAAGGCGTTTTAAAATGTTTGGTTGGTACCTATCTACCTAGGTACGCAGTGCATATCCGGAGATACCGCGTTGTAGAAGTGTTGCATTTTTGTTCAGTTAGATTTTAATTACGGTGAATCCATAATAGGACATTCTTATTTTTTTGTAAGTATTATACTTCCTTTTTCTTTAAGCCTTAATACTCAATAAATACCAATATGTTTAAAGGATGTCCATACCCGACCTATATTAATAATTTACGACAGTAGATCGGGTACTTGTAACATTATAATATAAATACATACACACTTGATTTATTTTTTATTTTCAAGCGTAATGGTTGTTATAACCTATACCTACATTTTTATTAATATTATGAAAAATTTGTACACGTGTGGTCCCCGACATACAGCCGCCTGACGCCTCTCTACCAATAGGATCACCCATTTTTTATTACAGAAAAATGGATTACTGATGAATTCTCAAGATAATTCATTGCTTACAAGTTGACAGCCAGTAAAACATTGCATTGATCTAAAACTTTTACGTTTTAAGGAACCATTTTGCTTGAGCCAGCCATACGACTCAAATATAAAATTATATTTTAAAAGGCACCGATTTTGGTAATTGTCATAGATTTTTGTTCCAAATAAATGTTTCTCTTTATTTACCTTTTCGTTTTATTCACTACCACCAATAGGCTTTACTCAAATAATAGTGTTAATTTACACTAGAAGTTTGCACTAAAAGAGTAAAAGTATCTTTCTAAAATTAGAACTTTTCCAAAGTAGTGTTAATTTACACTGAACAAATGTGGGATTTTACCCAGGAAGTGTAGAAGTACACAGTTTTACGTAAATTAACACTTTTTAATACAGTGTAAAATTACCCTATCCTCAGGGGAAAATTACACTGCCAATTAACATAATTAATTGTAGTGTTATAAAACAACACTATTTAGTGTTGCTTAGAGTTGATTTTTTTTACTGCGTAGTTTGAGGGCCCCTTTTTTTCAATGTGCTTTTTTCTTCTATTTAATCTAGTATAATATTTAATAAATAATAAATAAATATTATTGGTAATATCCTCTATATAAATTTATTCATAATTACAGTTTTACCCAATACTAAATTACTTTTTTTTGCCACACTCGCACATCCTGCAGTTAAAATCATAATTATCTCCAAGGAAACTAGTTTTTTTCTTTTATTTTATTTTGTCTTCGATCTACTTATGCAATTTATTCGTTAAATTTTAATGGTTAAACGTATAAAAGCGGGCATTTAAATCGCAATAAACAATCTGCGATGGAATAACATTTTCTGCGCTCAGTTATTTGTGTGCGTTCCTTGTCGGCGGCCTAGGACGGGAAGTTGCCGAGCAAAAAATAATAAAATAAATGACAGATCGAAGTGGAAAAAAACGTAAAAAGAAAACAAGAAATAAATGCCCGACATCCGCTTTGGAATATCCCAGTCGCGCTCGGCTTTGGTATATCTTATTAATAACATCGTTGCCGGATCTACATACATACATAAGTACTATTTTTAAATAGCATTTTATGCAAAACATTTATTGTGTATTTTTTTTAATAAAGAAAATTAAAAATATTATGGTTTTTAAAGCACAATGTAATACGTTACAAAAGTATGGAACAATTTTCATATTTCATATTGGTAATTTTTTTAAATTGTACTTTTTTTGGAGATTTGGAGATATTAATTATTGAAAGTGGAAAATTTATAGTTTTTAATTAATGTTTTGATGTTCTATAATTTTTATTAAAAGACTTATTAATGGGGTTTTGATAAAAATAAAAAGTGTACCTATATAGAAGAAATGTTCATAAACTTTCTTAAAATATTTAATTTCAAGGTCAAACTTTTTCAGTTTATTATTGTTTTTTATTATTCTACAAATAGCAAGTGTCCATATATGGAAGTTTATTATTTTATATGTATTTCTTTGTGTGGATATAATTTAAATCAAATATTTACTACTGGTAAATAAAAAATGAAAAAATTTACATAAACTTCCTAGTGTTTATAACATAAATGATATGTTACTTTATACAAAAATTATAATATTCAAAATCTTAAAATTTCAAGATTTAACAAACATTAATGTGTTAAAAGGTCCTACACAAATAAGAATGTTAAATAATAATTGTTTTGTACATTGTAGTAAAATAATATAGTTTTTCTACTCCCACCTTTAAAACGCCTTTTATCGTACATGCATGTTTCCATGACACTAAGTGATCTTTTAAATATACATTGACAAGTTGTGGCTTTACGGCTCTTTAGTCACGGGCTGAACTTAGCAACAGGTTTTTAGTCACAGGTTGAAGTTAGTTTTAAGTTAGTTGACAGTTGTCAAATGTCATACAATCGTTAAAATAAAAGTGCCTTTCTTGTAAAATAATACTAAATGTAAAAATTATTTTATTATCTCAATACAAAAATACAAAAATATTAAATAGTTTCTTAACGCCAATATTTGAAAAGTTTATATGAACATTGTACTGACCTTTTAATTTCGCCGGCAGTAAACCATAACTTAAATTCAATCAAAAACTGTCAATTTTCAAGATACATTTCGATTTATAACCTTTATAATTGTGTTTATAAAATTTAAAAATGTGAATCTGAATGTGACATTTGACAGTTTACGCTGTTGTTTCATAGATGGCGCTCTATACAAATTTTTGATTTAAATCATTTTAAGATAATAATAAGTATTTGTCGTAGAAAAAGTATAGTATGCACCTCGTTTATAAACTTTTCTATACACTCATTAACTTAAGCACTCGCTCGCAAGCTCGCTCGTGCCTAAATTAAATTCGTGTATAAAATGGCGTTTATCAAACTTGATACATAATATACTATAATGTTACGAGAAAATTATGTTAATTTTAATATAATACATTAGTTTAAATAACTCCTAAACAAGTATTAATCTAACTCAAAAATAAATGTTAAATATTTGAGTACAGAAAATTTTTAATCAAATTAAAACAATTGTCGGTTGATGATACTTAATTCGATTAGAGGTTCCTAATTGTAAGGTTAAGTGTGCTTTTAAATAGCGTGTATGAGGCGCCGTTTGTGCCATAATTATGATTTGTAAAATATATAATAATTTCTAAAATAAATATATATTTTGTTTAAAATATAAATATTTTATCTAAAATATATATATTTTAGCTTATTTTATAACATATATATTAGTTTTACTAAAATATAATAATATTTTTACAAAATAATATATATTTAAAATATTTATATATTTGGACAGTTGAACTAATAATATAATTTTAATACTAATAATATAAACTCAGCTTACAAGACGTAACGCCAGGAGGCGCTGGCTGCTTTATTTAACTTGGCAACGCAGCCTGTCTGTAATTGCATGTCGGAATTACTGTGGTGTAAATTAAATAAAACTAGAAGATACATTAAAAATAATAATACCTCTGGTACGTAATAAAGCACTTGGGTATAAGTTTAAATTAAAATCTAACAGATTAATAGGTCATTTAAAATTTCACCGCAGTAATGGAACCAAATCGACGACATAGTTTTGCGTAGCCCAGAATTAAGGAATAAAAAATTATTGTTTAAAAAGAGAGTCACGATAATAAACATCCAGTTAAACATATAAAAAATAACAAAAAGCCAAAGTGCGGCAAAAAGTTATTTAATTTACACCACTGTAATTCTCACATGAAATGAAAGAAAGTGTGCGTTGCCAAGTTAAATAAAGCTGCCAGCGCCTCCTAGCGTTACGTCTTGTAAGCTTAGTTTATATTATTAGTATTGAGTTTATATTATTAGTATTACTGTTTTAAATATATATTATTTAGTTAAAATATTATATATTTTAGTAAAACTAATATATATCTTAGAAAATGAGTTAAAATATATATATTTCAAACAACTTATTTATATTAAAAAAAAATATTTATATTTTTACAAATAATTCTATATTTTATAAATCATAATTATGGCACAAACGGCGCCTCATAAGCGTGTGTTAAACAAAATTTAAATGTAAGTTTGCTATGATAATGTTTTTTTTTACTTACCTAACGTTTGTATCCCCAGAAATGTTTGAAGACCGTTTA